TCTCCGTACCCGATCTCTAAAGACCAGTTAGGGTTCCTAGTTACCAGAATACTAGGTGGCGACTCTCATTCAATGTTTTCACTGATAAGAGACAAGAATTCTTTGTCTCTTCATATCTTGCTAGAAATACACCACATCCCATCGTTAGCATGGATGGTGGATGATCGCCGCGACGCCGCACACGTGTGACAGTAGTGATTTTGAAGGACTTAGAAGTTCAATTCTACATCATTCTTTATTGTCTTCTATTGACTTTGTTATTAGTGAGTTATTGGCTGAAGAAATACATCTTCAATCTTATTTTAGAAAAAGAATTCTTTCTGCTTCAAATCCTTATGTACTAACAATACCCTCTAAGTCATTTTCTAATCATCAGAATAAGTCTTACATAAGTGTTGGCTTCGATGAGTGCAGTTTCTATAAGCAAAAAGGTTATTGGAAGGCTTAGTGTCTCAAGTTGAGACAATAGAATCAAGTTTGGAAGCATAGCAACTAGTCACAATCTAATACTCATAGACCACCTCAGCGTTATAAACCACCACACCACAATACTGCAGTAGTAGCTTCATCAAGATCATCGATCTTAGTACTCTAGCTGAGCAATTTCAAAAGTTTCTCTCTTTACAGCCACAAACAATGTCCGCTTCTTCTTCCATGTGTCAGTTGCCTCATAGCTCCTAAAGTACGTTACATTTTGAATGAGTCTTGGATTCTGGTGATTCTAATCACATGTCTCCAGATTCTTTGATTAGTACTTAAAAGTGCATTTTTATCATGGTTTTATATCATCATTTTGCACTTGAAGTATCAATAACTCCTTAACTAAAATATATTTTATAATAATGTATCTAATAATACAAGATACCTATAATTTGTGGTAAATGTCTATTTTTAATGCAGGTCTATCACATAAATGAAAGGATTGATTGATGACTTGAAGAACTTAAATTGCAAGGATAAAGAGATGGCCAAACTTAGAAAAGAGATGTCGGTGCAATCCAAACCGGAACACTGTTCGGTAAATGGGTCATATCTGGAGCTATATATCTCAGATTTAGGTCAAATTTATATGGATGGAAAGGTAAGACATAGGCCTACAACTTTCATATGGAGCCCAAGATCTAAAAAGGCCATTATCAAGTCCAAATTGTAGCAACAACAAAGAAGCCCGAATCTGTCTTCCAGCCCGAGCACTGTTCGGTATTTTGGCCATATCTGGAGTTCTAGAAGTCCAAATGAGCTGAAATTTTTACACAAGAAAGCTGAGACAATTGCCTACAACTTTCATGTTTGCAACTGGCTCCAATTTTGACGTTATCAATGACGTTTTGGGCAGACAAGAGAAGATAAAGATTGTCACCAAGTCAAAAGTTGGCCACCCACTTATCAATTAGTCATCAAATCAATAGTTCCCATTTTTGGCCTATAAAAGGAGGCATTTGCCATGCATTTAGGCATCTTGATTTCCAGATCAAGATCATGCTCTTCCTTTCTCTCTTTGTATTTTTTATGCTTTGTTTTCATTAATATTAAGTTTATGCCTTTCATTTCCTTTCCTTTACTTAGTTAACTTTTATGTTCTTATTTTGTTTATCTATTTTGCTTTCTTTCATTATGTCTAGCTAAGTTAATTATGTCAAGGTGAAAAGGTTACACTAATGGTGTAAGAATAAGTATAATGTAAACTTAATATGGACTTTAATGTTTGATACTAACATGTTTTATATTTGTTATCTTGTTCACTCTTTAATACTTTGCTTGTTAAATAACTAATCTTGATTTATGTTGTATAACACTTGGTACAACAAATGCTTGGCACTTTCATAGCCCATAATGTATGGTATAACCGACACCTGAGCTATGAAAGGAACTTGATTTATTGTTAACATAAGTTATAATCATGAATGCTTGACGAGATTTACAAGTATTAGCATTAATTGAATAAGATGACTAATGTAATCATGTTAACAATATATAATCTGATTGGAACCTCCTTTGTGTGTGGTTTCCAATTCAATAATAAGAGTTTATACTATACTTGTTTGATATACCATTAGTGGAACCTCTAACCTTGACATTTGTTATTATCATTGTTTAATCGTTACATTAATATTCCATCTCAAAGTTCTCATCTTCTTCTTCTTCTTCTCCTTCTTTTTCTTTATTATTATTATTATTATTATTATTA